TGCTTTTGATTTTACATACTCCCTGATTTCTAACCGGTAAAATAATGGGTCCTTAAATTTATTTTGGCAGTTTTGTATATTTTATTTTAAGATCTAACAATGATAACTTCACTAGTGGTGAATATGAACTGACTATGGATGGTATCCATGAAAATTTTCTGCGGCTCTCTTACCATGACCCAATGATGAGAAAAACTGTGAGTTCATCTCAGCTGTCATTTTCAGTAGGATTTTTGACATCTATGTACCTGGTTTCTTGTATACTTGAACTACAGAACTTACTCTTACTTTGACAATATGAAGGTCAAATGTCTTAACCTACTTGGTGTTTCTGATTCGGTGCTTCGTTATGTTTTGAGAACTCAACAAATGTCTCTCTATGGTCAGATTGCTCTTGAACTTTAAGTTAGCTTTGACAATTTTGTAACTGAATTGATGGGTTGTGTTATTCTGTCACAGCTTACCAACCTCCCATTGCCATAGCCATGGGCCACCTGATAGCACAAGTCGAGAAGCCAAACATTGAATGGCCAAGGACTTACCATAGGTGCTTCCTCTAAACGCAGCTGTTTCTTCACATTGCAGTTTATAGTTATTGAATAATTTCAAACATTCCAGATTTCGAGCACTGCTTGCGGAGAAAAAAGAATCACTGAAGACATGGATAAGCAAGATATCACCATTGATTTCTAGGCATCTATTGACTAAGTCTTTTGTGGAAGATGTTGTTTCTCCACTGTTACATATTCTATCACCACCAACTCTGAGACCGGTAAGTTCCCTATTTTCTTTTTTTACTGTACCCAACCTATGGTTGCAGCTTTTGCCAAAAAAAGATGGAGACCAAGAAAAAGGCATACTAAAAATAAAAATTTACCCAGTAGTTTTCATAATCCGACGTCAATTTATTTGCTTGGATTAGTGTATTACTTTGGATTACTGGTAGAAGTCAATAGATTATGGAAGTAATACAAGCATATGTCTTTTTTTTATTATCATCTACAATAATTTGTCATCTTTTCAATACCTTAGCAGATGGAAGAAAGCTTTTAGGATGGCTGATGAATCTGAATGTATCTCAGGCAAATGCGTCTACAGAATATTACTAATGGAGTTTTTTAAACTATGAAGATATTAAATTTAAAATATTCCATATATGCAATCTAAAAATATTCAGTCACCAGATTACCTTTTGTTTCTTTCAAAGATTGAACCATGATTCGATTTAATATATAATCTGAAAACCGAAATGACCATTGACCTAACAAATTCTCATGTCACTGAGTCATTGGTGAAATAACATGCCATGGACCAAACCATGGTTTAGAATGTCTAGATCAGCCAAATAGGTTAAAAGTATCATTTCTCTAAATTGACCAGGATCAGGTGACATTCTATCAGAATCAGTTGAATCAACTGGTATTAGGATGGTTATTGGTCCTGGTTAATGCTATCAGCTTGAGTAAACCTGATCAGCTTCTAATTGGTAGGACTTCTATTAATGACTAGAGGCTCAACTGCAATGGGATAGACCAACATGCTTAAGATAGCCCAACATGTTGCTGGTTCTGGCCGAGCTTAGGCCATGTGATGCAGACCTCTATCTCGGAACAGGCATGGGCCAAGCTTTGGTTCAGTCCATGGTGTGTTCCTATAACATGTCAGCCATGCTGGCCTTCTGTGGCCCATGGTCAGGTGAGCAGTTTGAGCAGTTTAGAGCCCATGCAAAAGTGTGTGCTCATGTTCAGTTCACTGAATGTGTGTGCTTGTGCTTCAAAAAACAAGAAGAATTTCCAAACTTGCAGCTAGAGGTATTATAGCAGCTTTTATACTGGCATGCATTTTGCATTAAGATCTGGAAACTATTGCTAGTATAGTTTACTTTGGACTCAGCAACATAACACTATCAGGATCTTTCACTGCACATGTCTTTTATCAATTAGATTGGAGTAGTTTCATCCTTTTTCATGTTTTTCATAATTTTTTCAAACTTTTACCAGGTGGCATTGCATCTATTGTCAGAAAGAGAAAAAGATGATCTATGCCAACTTGTGGATACGATGGTTTGTTTCTCCATAACATATAGAAATTCAAAACCTGAGCTTCCAGAAAAGACTCAAAGATATGGAGCAACTACTAATGCTGTACCCTTATCTCTTGACCCCCCACTTCATGATTATGTGAACTTTAAGGTTTGTTTTGATTCTCTTGTAGTTTATGCATTATGATTAGAAGTTAGCTCCCCATATTTAATGTCTGAGTGATAATAACAGGAATACCAGTCTCAGCATTTTGGACTATCTGGAGCTATGAAGCAGATTTTGGTGCATGAGGTGGGTCTCAATAACATCAGTATGAGATTAATCATCCTATTGAGTGTTCATATTTCCAAAATTGCTGGCAAATAGTGGAACTAGTATATCCAATTCTTGAAGCTTTGTGGAAATGGATTTTATCATGTTAGATTATGTTTGCAAAAATGGGAAAGTAACCTGGATGTTTTATTCAAAGACTTTTCCATAACCTGATCTTTGTCATGTCAGATAGATCATGTTTTCATTAATCTGGATATTCATAGATTTCTCATAACCTGATTTTCTTTTTTCCTTATACCTGCTTAATTTTTCACTTGGTGTTCTTGAATAATAGAAGCAAATGTGTCAGTGGAATCTCTCCTGTGGATTTCTATTAGTGCTGATACATGACATTACAGGCTGATAAACATCGAATTCTACGAGAAAGCACTGCCAAAAACATCAATCTATATGATCAACGCAACAATGGCAACCTGGCCCTTGCCAATGTAAGTGCGGAAGCTACACCTGTTATGAATGCTACTTCAGTTACATCTAATAGGGGGGACCACAAATCAAAAGTGCTTTTAGGTCAGAGGCAAAATGTAGCCATCTGTAGCTCAGTTTCAGTTCCAGAAGGCAAGAAATTTCTTTCTCGTGGCTTGAATTTAAAAGCTCCGGGAGCTTCAAAGAAGTCTTCAAAGGATTCATATAGTTTCTTTGATAGGTAATTTTCTAGTTTACTTGTATACATATGGGAAATATATTCTATGCAAAGAGGTTAGTTTTCTTATGTAAGAATGGGTATGCTGTTCATTTCAGAGTTTGATGGACTAAACTAATCAGGAAACAGTACACACATATTAAGTTAAAACTAAGTAGATTACTATGGAATGATAAAATTGCCTCCTTGTACTAATTTATGTATTACAACTGCAGGTTTAGAAAAGGAAGCAACACAAACTCCAATGTTCCTGGAGAGGCTTTACAAGAGGTAGCAACTATTGAAAGAGATTCACGTCCATTAATCTTCAAATACAATGAGGTATACACAGTGATTCTTATATCTCATTTAATATGGAACTTTGTTCTGATATGTTTTTCAGTGTAAATGATGAAGTAAATAACTCCTTTGGTGAACTTAGATTCTCTAGTCTTCTGCATCTTCAGATATCAATCCATATCTAGAAGTGAATAGCATTAGAAATCTATCCTTGTTGAGCAATCTTTGGTTCCACACTCACCTAAGAATCTATTTCCAAACCTTCATATGTTCAAGTTATCCTGCAAAGCGTTTATTCCTATTCCAATAATTTACTAGTCAATACAGTTTGTTGTGGCTGTTCTCTGATTTTTGCAGAGAACAGTTTAAATGACAGTTGATCCTCAGGGTTGAATGGTCCAATGGGTTAAATTTGTAAAGTGGGGAACAATGGCTTGCACAACATGTCATAGTCTTAAAGGTCGAATAGGACGAATGTCAGGTTAATATTTTTTGGAGATGTGGAAAGAATCAGGAAATGGAAATGCATAGAATGATATTGAGTCTGGATAAGGCTAATGGCAATCTACACTGTGAAATAGGGGACACTGAAAATTTATGTATTTCTTAGGTGCATTATCAAACATGTTCTTGCTATGGCCCAGTTGGATATGTTGCTAAAGACTTGACATGTTATTGCTTTATCTGTCATGTAAATCTTTTGCTTTGGACTGTGAAATGCCATGGGGGAAGTCTTTATTCACAAACATTCTTGAGGGGCTTCATTTTATTTTCTTACATTATTGTTACTATGAAATACCCAGAACCATGGGGAACTCTCTTCCTTTCGTTTCCTTACATTAGACCACTTAAAAAAGCATGGCAGCACTCACCTTATTTAGTCTACATGCAACTTGAAAGAAAATCTGATCTTTTGATTTGTTTGTGAATCCTTTCAATGTGATTATTGCAGGGTTTCACAAACGCAGTCAAAAGACCTGTCAGGATACGCGATCTGCTGTTATGACAAGGTTTGCAATTTTTAACATTCTATGACCCATTCTGTATCGGTAGAATATGGTTTTTTGGCAAATATTTCTATCTAGATCATAATACATTTTCTTTTTTCTTTTTTTCAGATTCCGAACGCATGTACTTGTTTACTAGAGATGTAACTATTATTTTTGGCTTTGTTATTTCAAGATTTGAACACACCCGACATGCTGCCTACTGATGTTATAACTTGTTACCGACTGTGGTAAGAAGGGATGGCCAGATGCGTCAGCTGTATGTCATGCCATTGTTGTTTAAGAGAGTTGGCATGTGACAACTTGTTACCTGCTCTTCCTCTCGAAGAACAGCTACTAATTAAGGAATTATGCTCTTCTTCCCAGTCCCAAGAGATTTCCTTTTACTCGTTTCTTTGACCGTTATCTTTTCCTCCCAGTCCCAAGTACGAAGGAATTCGTATTTCCTGTCGTGTATGCATTGGGTTCGACACCGACGAGATTCGGCTCGTCGCGATGGATCCAATCTAACCCAGTAAATACATTGGGTTCGATACCGACACGGGTTGGAAAGGAGTACGATATCGGACGCTGGTCTGATATTATCGGATCGCTTTGTTATCAACTTGCCAGCCGGATATTCGAGTCGGATTTGCTGGATCCGAAATGATACATTCCCGACCCAAACCAAGTAGCGTCTAACGGCCCAAAAAATCTTTTTCCCTCCCCCCGTCGTCCCCTCCGAATAGGATAAGATTCCTTCTCTCCGTCTCTTCTCTCTCTCGCTTCCGTGTACGGTGTACTCACTCCTTGTCTCCGTCTTCTTCCTTCCGGCGATCTCGCAAGTTCTGCTACCTTCAAGGACAGGCTGCGGTTGCCATCTGTCGTCTCGCTCGATATGAGCTGCGCGGTGGATCTTTTCCGCGGCTCGCAATGCTTCCATTGCTGCTCACTCCGCGCCGGGCCTTACCTCTGCACACCTGTGTTTGCATCGAGGAGTGTGTTCTTCTGGAGGAGCTCCCCCTCGACCTCGAGACCTCCATGCCTTCTCGGGTCTGCTATCCTGCCAATTTCATTCTTTTACTTCTCTTTTTCTCTTCCCCAGTCAATTAATTTCTCTTCCTTTGGGTTCAGTTTAAAGTTGAGGAGGCATCAGATTGTGTGCCAGGCCATGACGGAAACAGAGCCGGACAGCAACGACGAAAAGGTGCGCCTTATGTGGTAGTCTCCCTTTTGCTTGTCTACTGCCTCTCCTATCTTGCGGTGGGGTAATGTCGTTAGCTTTTATCGGCTGCTAATCTACTTCAGTCCTCAATCTTGTCTCCACAAACTGCCTAAAAGGAAGAAAAAAACTGAAAGAGCCACCTCTGGTGGCGTTCAATATGGAATGACTAGATCCCATCTCTTGCTGTTTCTTTCCAGTTTTCTAGTTGTGCTCCGTAGTTTGGCCATTTTACCTTCGGTCCAACAGGTCTTAACCTGGTCAAGAAACAAATTCACCATCCATCTAAGATTTTATATGTTATACTTTCAATTATTTATTGGCTTGATACTGGTACTGGCATGGGATTCTCTTGAGACAAGCTTCAGCAAATTGTGAAACCTTTTTTGATTTGGATCAAGTCATGTGGTGATTTCATCTTTCAATACCAAGTGCATTTCTGCAGAAGGTGGCACCTGTGGAACATACTTCCACACCATCAACTGCCGATCTGATCCAAAATAATGGCCATGCGGATTCCATCATTGACCAGGTAACCATGGACCTTTATCTCAGAAGCTTATAGTAAAGTTAAAACTTATATATTTTGCAGTGTCTGTTACATCGTCATTTGTCATAGTATTCAGTTTTATTGACAATTGATAGTTGAATTTTCATGTTCATGTTATTTGATAATATGCAGAAATAATCTTTCTGCTTGAATAGATAAGACTGTCTACATTGACTTTTGCCATCCCCACATTGGCAAGAGCTTGTGCACTGGACCATCTTTTTTATGTTATTTGCCTGTATTGTCTATTCATAGTCTTAGCCTCTTAGGTTTCATTTTTTTCAGAATGTTTGTCCAAAATGTACAAGAAGTAATTATTGTTACATTACAAGGGAACAACAAAGGTCCTGTGCGATGCACTAGGAGAACAAGTTAAATAAGTTTTGGATCAAGAAAGAAAAAAAATGATAAAATATCTTAATCCAAGTTTTCAATAAAAATAATTGAATATAAATTACTAGCAAAAAATAACAACTAACTTTTTAAATTCATTAGTGATGTACTTTTCTGAATTCAAATAATTAATTCAGCTTTGACCAGTTCATAACATTTTCTTGAGATCAACATATATTCAGATTTGCAAAATCTTAGGATAACCCTTTTATATGCTATATAGTTTACTAAATATTAATTAGTACTCTAAAGTTAACAAAAATATAATTATTAAAGGTGTAGAAGGATCCATAAGAAATGCTTTAAAGTTAAATTTGTATGTATATGATCGATTTGTATCCTTCATGCGAAAAAGGTTTCATGGCTGTTATATATTTCACCAGGATAAAGATGAGCCTTGTGACGACGAACTGTTGAATCAGGATATTACATTACAGAAGAACGAGGATGATCTTGTGGCTAACAATAATAACCAGGTACTTAGAGTGTAGTCTGCATGACTTTGTAGATATTGCAAGTTTGGAACTATGATTATGTACTTAGTTTGTGTCTGAATTGAATGCCTGTTGTAGGAGAAGGATGATAATTTGGAGGTTGCAAGTGGGTCTCCTTTACCAGGAATGAAGGTTAAATTTTCATAGCATGTATGCCATTCTGATTACTCCTTTTATTAAGCATATATCTTCAATGCTTTTATGTACAGCAACAACTCGATGAAACAGTGAAGATCCCTAAGGCAACTATTGACATTCTTAAAGATCAAGTTTTTGGTTTCGACACTTTTTTTGTCACCAGCCAGGAACCTTATGAGGTGACATGCTTTCTTGTAATTTTGAGGGCTTGACTTTAAGTAAATTACAGTTTACCAACATGTGGTTTATTCTGATTTCGCTTTGTCAACTTCTTCAAAAAGCATCCCTTATTCTACTTAGATTTGGCTCCGTGATCCAAAATAGGCTTGTGTTACCTCAATTGGAAAACTATGTTGTGATTTTAATGTCATCAACATTTGCATCTTTTGTTACATTAGGAGAGGGGTGATATAAGCATTTATTGATATTATTGAATGTCCTACCCATGTGAATATATGATTTGAATCCATTGACGTGTTTTTGCTCCTGTATAACACTAATGGAGTGCTGAGATGGAATATAGAATGGCTGAATTCTGGTGCACATGGGCCTCTCACATTGTCAAAACAAATGCCACATTGATGCTATGTCCATGCTAGGCTAAAATGGACTACCACATAGTCATGCATCTGGTGCTATGTGTTGTTGGCACAAAATAGTTATGGCTCTTGTGAACCACATAAATTCCAGCAAGTAGCACATGAATGCAATGCCATCATGATGTGAGCACCATAGTTGTGGGATCAAGCTCACAATTTGTAAAATGAAACGTGTAATGAGACTGCATTTGGAGTGAAGGGAAACTGAGGTTGTTAACTACGAATTCTCCCAATCATACTTGACAAAGCTTGGTGTGATAATAGGTGGGCAAAATGTGGATGTGTGTGTGTGTGTGTGTTTTTTTTTTTTTTTGCCATAGATGATCCTATTTGATAATGTTTGTACATCCTCAGATAATTTTGTTCAATATTTATGAGCCAAATGAGGTTATAAGTTAGTTTTCTTTAGCATAAACCACATGATCATGCTGACAAGAACACCTGTTTAAGGTGCGAAAGCTACACAGCTCTTATGGTTGTCACATTTATGATTTGCTTTCTCCAGTACAACTGGGTAATGTCATTTAACTTGTTTTAGTATAGGAACATCAAAATCTACATGATCTTGTTGATGAAGCAACTTTTTTAACATGCCAAAGCTATTCAGTCTTGCATTGTCTGATTTGCTGTCTTTCAGCAAAACTGCTCAATGGCTGATGTGCAGTCTCTGATTTTTGCAGACCCTAACAGAAGTGCTTTCCATATTTTTCAATCTACTGCAAAGTTTTCTTGTTGGGCTATTCCAACATAACTGCTATAATGTATCTGGAGAAATCATCTTTATTAACTCTAATTCTATAATTAAGGCTGGTAATATTGTACATGAGAAGTAAAAATAGGTTCCATTCAACTCATATGCTACCATTGCATTCCCGATAGGGTGGGGTGTTATTTAAGGGTAACCTTCGAGGAAAGCCAGCTAAAAGTTATGAGAAGATTACAAATCGGATGCAAGTGAGTTGTTCTTTTGTTCTTCCATTTAATTGTCAATGCAATCTACTAACTTTCCAGCACATATGGTTCACAGGGTAAGTTTGGTGATCAATATAAGCTTTTCCTTCTTATCAATCCAGAGGATGATAAACCAGTTGCTGTAGTGGTGCCTAAACGAACCTTGCAGCCAGAAACCACCGGTAATAAGAGTTTTCTTCTTGCTTTCCCCTAAAGAGCCTTTAAGTTGGAATTCAATGAAATCTTCTCTTTGTATGAAACTTCACTCCATCATTGTTATTGCTGATGTAACTTTATCTGCTCAGACTAGGCATGTCAGAGCAAGCTACCATGTGTGAGAGGTTGTATACTTCTGATATTGACGTGCTTCGGATGTATTCTGATTTGCAGCTGTTCCAGAATGGTTTGCTGCTGGTGCATTTGGCTTGGTTACGATCTTCACGTTGCTTCTTCGGAATGTACCTGCTCTGCAGTCCAACTTGCTGTATGAGGTTTCCTGCACATGCTTACTATTTATTTATTACTTACCGTCCTCATCTTTGTTTTTTTTTTATTTTGTTTGTTCAAGATGTTGCAAATGGTGTGCAGAAAATCCTTATAAACTTTATTTAAAAGATTTATCATCTTGTACCCTCTTTTCAAAATGTAGTTTAGTAATGTGGATTTATTTTGAGTTTCGTGCTGTACTTCAAGATATCAGTTACTTATGTTAGAAAATATGTTCTTTCAGATCAACATTTGATAATCTTGCACTGCTGAATGACGGTCTTCCAGGAGCCATTGTAACTGTTCTAATTGTAGGGTTCCATGAAATAGGTCACATTTTAGTTGCCAGAGATGCCGGAATCAAGTTGGGAGTGCCATATTTTGTCCCTAGTTGGCAGGTAGGTGCTGTTCTCTAGTTTTGATCTTTCAGTCATGTCTTGCATGATAGTCACATTAAGTTTCGTGAATAATAAAAGGATTTATATTGATTCACATTTCATTGATGGACTTCTTATAATAAAGGTGCAGGATGTGTGTTTCAATATTTTCTTTTTTTGCTAATTTTGATATGTATTTAATCTATTTGAAAGGAACTATCTGAAAAACATGGAAAATATTTTGTAGTTAATTGGACATGATTTCATGTTATGTATTTGTAAGTAAAGAAAATTTCTTGCAGTTTAGACATGCCAATTTGGCAAGAAAGTTTTTCTGCTTGCTCTGTGCTTTTTTCTACTTTGCTATCTGAAGGTATTTATAGATTATAGAGCACTATGAACTGAAGGAATGCAGTGTAAGAGTCAAATTTCTATCATCTTATATTGGATGTTGATGCATGAATTAATTTTTATACAGATAGGATCTTTTGGTGCTATTACAAGGATCTTAAGTATTGTAGCCAACCGTGAGGATCTTCTCAAACTATCAGCTGCTGGGCCTTTAGCTGGATTTACAATGGGACTCATTCTTTTGCTATTAGGGTTTGTCTTACCTCCCGTTGATGGCACCGGTATTGTGATTGATCCGGCAGTCTTTCATGAGTCATTTCTTGCTGGTGGTATTGGTGAGTTCTTTGTCCTACATCATTAATGGATTTATCTCATATGTTCAGCAACGATGGGGATGTTGTCCATGTGTGAGAATGTTCTTGTTTGTGCTAGTGCATGTAAGGGTACATGATTTCCATGCACCTCTGCGCACAGGCTTGCATAATTTGTATGCTTGTGTTGATTCCCCTACTTCAGTGTGTCTCAAAGAGACGATACGACCATGCCATTTTAAGCTGCATGTTGTCCACGTCCAATTTCTTTTTCCCATTTCTTTTTGGAGTAAGATATTGTCGCCTGATGAATATGCTTTGTTACCTCTTATGAAGTCATCAAAACATAGCCAAGAATATACTACAAATTAGGACCTTGCATTTTTATCATCACACAGGAAGGGTCAAATGTTCTCAAGTATGCACAACATTACAATGACAAAAGGCACATGGACTGTCTTATTCCAGCAAAATTGCAATTGATCTTAATCGGCTGAAGCATTCATATGCATATTTTTATTCATGTTCTATCTGATTTTAGTTGTCCCCATTTTGTACTTGGTATATATTTTATTCCAATACCAAGGCAATGAGTTATAACAGATGCATTGTGTCCCAAACTTGGACTCACTAACTGGATAATTTTCCATTCACTATCTTGCATGTCCTGCAGCAAAACTTTTCCTTGGTAATGCTCTGAAAGAAGGCGCTCCACTATCTATCAATCCACTTGTCTTATGGGCTTGGAGTGGGCTTCTTGTTAATGCTCTCAACAGTATACCTGCAGGAGAGCTTGATGGCGGTCGTATATCATTTGCCATTTGGGGAAGAAAGGTAAACTTTTATTTTTTATAAATCCATCCTTGTTTGCTCATGCATGCTATCGAGCACCGGAACGAGACTTTACTAGTGAGTTTATTTTATGGCAATCTATTTACCAACTATATGCAACAGTGGACTTCTGAGAACTTGATTAATTATTATTGAAAATTTAAGATAGTACATTGCTGGAAAATTTTCACAAGCATGTAATCTATTTGAAAATTATGTTGTCAACTTATACTTTGTTAACCTACTTGGTTTATACCATGATGCACTTTAAATGTACCAAGACATGCTCAAAGATAGCTTATTATGATGCATAAAAGCAAGTGCATGTACGTGAAGAAATCTTCGTCCTAAATCATGTTTGCTTCTAATTTTCTTAATGTTCATGTCAATAAATTTTCTGCATTCCTTGACTTAAATTCTTATCTTCGAACCTTTGAGCCAGAAGACTTGAGTAGTCAAGTATTTTGTAACCTGTTCCATCAGTTTCATAACTTCGAGTGGTGAAATTTTTCTTGATTATACAACAGGCATCTACTCGATTGAGTGGCATCGCCCTTGCCCTACTTGGAATATCATCGCTCTTCAATGACGTGGCATTCTATTGGACAGTTTTAATATTTTTCTTACAGAGGGGGCCTATTGCTCCTCTTTCGGAGGAGATAACTGAACCGGAGAACAGATACGTTGGCCTTGGCATCGCAGTGTTGCTGTTGGGATTGCTTGTATGCTTACCATACCCCTTTCCCTTTAACACAGAAGTAACAAATTTTGATTTTTGAGTGGTGTTTCATGTACATGTATCACATATGAAGTTTGAATTTTGACATAGTGCTGACTAAATTCAATCATTAATTAGTTGATTACATGTAATAAAGGCAGTTGTTGCTGATGAATCCCAACGTATGTCTCTATTGTTTTGCTCCTATCTTCCCTCTGTGGCTTAGTCGTATGAGACTATGCTCACAACTCATGGTGAATCTTTTAAGTTAAGGTGACTAATGTGTTCGATGTTTCAGGCATAAAAATATTAAAGGATGAGGCTGTATTGGACGCACGATGCATGTCGAAGGTTTGGCTGATAATGCTTTGTCCAGATCAGGTTTGAGATCAAAATCCATCCAATTTTTTGTTTTATCACTTACTCTTTGCGAAAAAAGAAAAAAAAAAAAGAACTTCTTGTGACACTTGAGTTTAGTCCACATCTAAATTGAGGGATGGTTAACAATTCGAGTCAACTTATATATGAGTGGTTCAGTATCATCTAATTAATGAACCAATTATCACTTTACGACACACGATATCATATCTAACATAGTATTATTACACAATGATGGATTTAAGTACGGATGAGAGATGGCAAGGTGAAAAATCATTATTGGGTTTTTTTTCTTCCTTTTTTAAGAATAAACGGCGAAGATGATATTCTAAAAAATTATTAAATGAGGACGTACCACATTAGGATGAAATTTTAATAGTAACGATTCATCAAATTAATAAATCATTATTTCACGTTTAGATTCATCAAAGTAATAAATATCGGTTTTCCATCGGATCGGGTTGGATGAAATAAGGAGGATATCGTATCAACAACATCATTTCATAAACACAGGAGAAAAAAAAATATATATCAGCGGAATTATAGTTCATATTTATATGCTTTTATACGGTTCAACTCGCGCGAAGCATGTTTACGGGCGTGTGCTTTTCTCTTCACATTTTCCTTCAATTTTCTGCATCAACTTATCAGCGTCTATAAATAATTGCCCACATAATATTTATGCAAATTAATATATTGGTTCAAATTTAATTTAGATATCCTTTTCATTCTCTTGTTATTTTGTTCAATTATAATCCTTTTATTCCCCTTTAATCCAATTTACATATTTGTACTTCGTTTACATGTTACGTTCATACAATTGGTATTTAATCGTATTTACAGCTGCGAGACGGCCACTGCTCCGGAGGGCGTAGCAGAGCGCCAGGTGGCAGCGGAAGAGCGCCCCCAAGTGGTCCGGTTCGGCCCCCGGCTCCGTAACGGCAGGGAAGGACGGCCTAAATAATCCCTACCGCTTTCTCGGTTCTGTTTCCCCAAGTGGTGACACCCGCGGCTCGCTCGGCGAGCCACGTTTCCGGTATCCGGGTCAGAGGCGCCTGCGACACGCAAGATCCATCCCTCCATCTCAGCCGTCGATTGGTCGTGCGGACCCCGGTCGAGTCCCCGTGATGCCCGGGTCCCATCTCTACTAAAAGCCGTTCCTCTTGGCCACTCACTCCATCGCGTCGACGCGAGCTCTATCATGTGAAGGAAGAAAGTACTTTGGAAGCTACTACACATTCGGAGTAGAGAGAGAGAGAGAGAGGGAGAGGGAAAGAGGAATCGATCCATGGAGGCACTCGCGGGAAACTGCATCAGAGGTTTCGTTAGGGACGGCAGCAAATTAGCTCCCTCTGTCGCCTATTCCGCTTCTTCTCGCCTGAGGTGGATCACCGTTCGGGCCCCGTTCCCCACCAAAAAGTTGGGCTCCGGCCATGCCGTCCTTTTCAGAGGGCAGCTGATCTGGCGGTCTTACTCTTCCTCCCTCTCCGCAGCGTCGTCGGAGGTACAGCGTCCACCATCGTTTATCTTCTTTCTCTTTTGGGGCGATTCTTTAGGGCTTCGAGATTGGCCCTTTTTACTTCGGCTTTACTGGAGCTTTTGGCCCCGTTTGAATGCCCCTTTTTTGAGGTTGTTTCCTTTCGGCGGTGTCTCAGTGACTGCTTTGTGTAAGATTTTGGATATCTTTCCGAGATAAAAAGGCGAGCTTGTCATTCGTGTCCTCGACTCTTGTTCTAGGAATTATGTGTTCGTTTTTAGGGTTACTTTTCTCTTTCTAACTAGTCTTTTTAGGGTTATTCTTCTCCTTTGTGTTAGCATCTAAGAGCACAAGCAAGGCACTTTAGATCGACGCTTCCCTATAGTTCGTGCAGAAGCTACAGAGTCTCTGATAGCACAAGCAACATTTTTGAGTCATTGATTCTGTAGCTTACATGCTTTCAAATCTCATGATGCAGGTAGATAGGCTTACTCTTGATTCTTATGTCGAGAAGGCAGGTGAGACTTCGCTGTCGCCATCTCGGATCTCCTGCTTTGTTTAGTTTCTGAAGATAACATCGTGCCCTAATTGCTCCTACTCAGATCGCTACAAGACCGTGCACGTAAGATTTGTTCTGCAGAAGGAGTGCTCGTTTGGCCAGCAATTCCTCCTGGTTGGAGATGATCCAATGTTTGGTCTGTGGGATCCAGAAAAGGCAGTTCCTTTGGAATGGTCTTCCGGCCATGAATGGACAGCTGAGCTGGTGAGACAAGGAAATGCTCCAGTTGTATTTGGAACCAAACGATAATTCTGGTTTTGATCAAACTCTGACATGTTTAATGTAGGATTTACCTGTGGGAAAACAAATCCAGTTCAAGTTTATACTCAAAGGTGACGCTGGGGAAATCAAGTGGCAGCCTGGCCCTGATAGATGCTTGCAGACATGGGAAACCTCCAATACTATTATGGTTTCAGAAGACTGGGAGGATGCTGAGTCTCAGAAGATTTCAGAGGAGGAACCATCACTTCTTATTCTGGTCGAGGAAACACGGTCCGTGGAGAGCAAGATCGGTAGCAATGTGGGAGCTGTAATGGATCTGACCCAGAATGGTGAGGCTCAGGACAAACCCAGAGGCGTAACTGATACCACTTTGCTTTTAGTCCCCGGCTTAGTGCCAATTCGTGCTTTGGGGAGCGCTTTGGGTTCCCCACAAGAAACAATGCCTGTGAAGGCTGCTGTTGATGCTTCTCATGAATCTGATGAAGCTGCTGAACACTACAACTCATCAGCGCAGGTAAATGTTTGATGGGGTGTAGCTCTTCACTTTGGTTTGGTAACAGGCAAGCAATTCCTGCCTTGTGTCGATCACAATTTTGGAAGCTGCAGAGATTCTTTCTTTCGCAATTGGATTTCCTTATAGTTCACAGATATATGTACTGCTTATGCTACTAATAAGTCTCCTTAGGCATTTTTTTTTCAACCATGAGTCAGGTCTACTTGTGCTTCTGCCACTACCATTAATAAGATGAGGCTGATATCTGCAATGTGAAAACCCGGTGCAATAGACATTTAACTTTAACCTATCTAGTCTCAGTATAAGAAGAATTTATAGTGATATGCTATATGCATCAATGTAATCAGATAACAAGAAGCGGCATTCATCATTTGTGGAATCAATATCTTTTATTTCTGAACACAATTGAGTGTGGAGATAAGTACTTTGTGTTTAATTTGAAACATCTGTTTCCATGTGTTTAACATAACACATCTAGTCTTAGTACAAGAACATTTTGTAATGATGTATCTATCATATGCATCAAAGTGATCAGAGACGAAGAAGTAGCATCCATGCTTCGTGTAATGTAAACAAAATATTTTATTTCTGAATACCATAGTGTGGAGATGAGTACTGTGTGTTTATCTTGAGACATCTGTTTCCATGTGCTTAACCTAACCTATCGAGTCTTATTACAAGAAATTTATGGTGATATATCATATTGCATCAAAATAATAAGATACAAAGAAGTAAGTCAATATCTTTTATTTCTGAAGACCAATTATTGTAGAGATAAGTACTTTTGTGTTTAACTTGAAACATCTGTTTCATGTGTTGCATGACCATGGATCAGTTATCTGAAAAGGAAGAAAAACCAGAGGGATCACACGAAAACTTGCTTGAAGAAGAAGAAACCACGATACTGTCGCAACAACCAGACAGCCATGAACATGAAGAAATGGCAGTGAAGCAGAGTAACGGCAGCATGTTGGTTGAAGATAAAATTCTCCCAAAAGAACCTAATTCTGAAGAAATAGCTAATGTTCTTCAGAACGACAAGCAATGGGGCCGTAGAACACTGAAGCAGCTTCTTTTAAATCTGGGTTTTAATGTCACGCCAACAGAAACTTCTTGAGAACCCAGTGTTGTTTGTTGCTTGTTCCTGTGGCCTTTCTTAATGGCTGTGGAGAATTATACTTGTAACCTTATTTTATTCATTACTAGTTTGTGGAGGATGTAGTTTTGTGTTGTACACTGGAATGTGAATGGGTGTGTTGCTGATTCTGTATCCATCTGCAATGCGAATGGCCATAATGGCTCTCTTTAGATATTTTGAGAGAAAACAGAGCATTATATATTCTGATTTAACTCAGTTCAAACACCAAGTTTTATTTTGTGGCCCAATCCAGGTGGAATGGAGATATTTGTGCTATGTTGAGCAGGCACCTTCACCTTTTGCTATCTTTTCTCCCACTGATGATGTTTTTGTTACTTGTTACTTAGGTTTTGTGCACAAATTGCATTTAACAAAACATTGTTATTTAACACTTGTTTATCCAACGTACACATGCATTTTTCAAATTCAAATATTCAGAAACAAAATGATATATGATTGTCTTCTTAATAACAAAGTTGTAAGAGTGTATGCACTGACATAGGATCAACCGCAATCATATATAACCTTTTCAAGTACTACAGTAGGAGAGGTCTGAACATGAAGATAGTGGTACTCACTGCTTGAGAAATGGTTCTCTTCCTCCTGAGAGCTAAACTGATCTTTTGTACTCTTACATGAATCAACCGCTAAACCTCCTCCAGTTGAAAATTTCCGCCACTTGCAATAACTGATCTTTTGTACTCTTACATGAAGGCATTTCCTACAAATAAATCAATGTGCATCAAGAAAACTATAAGAAAGTGATGGGAGTTGAAGTTTAAGATATAACTTGTAGAATCTTTCTGAAAATGGGGATAGGCCTTACAGGAGAAATAATAATATGTAACAAATATATAACAAAGTCAATAAAGCTTATTCAGACAAATTTGGAAAGTAGAACTGTTGTTGTCAAAAGCACCAGATGGATTTTCACATGAATTCCATTTTGACAGGTCCATGATTCCAAGAATGTGGAAGGTGTTGCCCCTAAGAAGAGCAAAATGGAAGAGAGCAGTGGCACCTGAAACAGTTTATGTTTATCTTGCTTTCGTATTTTTCATATGCATCAACCATCAAGAACATGCCAAATTAAGATGCTCCTAACAAAGTGAAAAAAAGATTTAGAAAGCCAAATTATGTCTCATTGTATAGAAATAATAAATTGAACCCTGAAACTATAATATAATACTTTGACCTAAAACTATAGAATGCTTCAAAACTCTTGGAATATACAGAAACATCATAATCATGATCAATATATCTTTGAAAGTAGCCTTTTGAATGGACCATCTGGATGCAACCTTTGTCCATAACACTGTAGGAGGCTTCTGCCAAGTTTTGTCTCAGAACCAACTCAATTTACAAGTTCATAGGATTGGGATTACATCCATAGCACGCACATGTATTAATCTTTGATTTCTTATAGTACAAATTTTTTTATACAAGTTTGATCTTATTATACCAAATAGTGTCGGAAGTTCTTTTCTAGCTTTAATCATCAAGCATCAGTCATATTGGAAGGATTCTCATCAACCAGCTTTTTATTTCTCTGTTTCTCGTAATTATTATTTAGAGAACTTGTGCTACTTTGGTTAAACAGCCAAAGAGCAATAAGCTAAGCATTGCAGTCACAATGAAAAAAGTGTCTATTTACTACTTACTCTCTTTCTTAAACCATCAACCATACAGCCAATAATTAGCTGATGGCTGTACTCTTGAGGAAATTTAAGTCCCCTTATACCCTCTTAAAGCTGATCATAGTAATAAGGAAAGCATCTCCTGACTGATAATAATTAGCCAGTATGTATTGCATTGTTCTCTATCTTGTTCATGCTCCTGCACTAAAAGGCCATCATTCAGATTGCAAGGTTGCTGGTTGTATCTGTAACTCCAAATTCTATTTACTACAGTATTTTTAAGAGCTTAGACTTCAAGAAGCATAATCATATTAAGCACCATCAGATGGTTAATATTATCACCAACAATGTAGAATTGCATGATGAAGGAGATGACACGAGCTAGTAACAAATAGCAAATCTTATGGGAAGTGTGTCTTATGACTGACCACAAAGTTTATGTAGGAGGGAATAGAAACATGAACAGCAAACTCAGTAGCTCCTTCAGTTGATTAAAGCAAGCATGGAAATACTTGGGAAGGAGAATATTGTCCTCTTTCTTTATACCTTCAAAATTCATTCTAGCTTTTCTACCTATTAGTCCTATTTCTCACCTAGTTCTTCTAGTCCTATTTCAATGTTAAAAGTTCTTAAGGACAAAGATCTTGTGCATATCTATTCAAACAAAAAAGAGAAATTTTATTGTGTTTCGGTTAAATTGAGATTAAATTATTTTTTTTAATGTTTCATAGATTTCAAACAGTTTCATCTTTCGTTTACTTATTTCTAGTTATGTTTTGTGTTGTTTATCCTTGCTTCGATCTTGTCTTTTACTTAGTTAACAAGTAAGCTGACAAATTTGAGATATTTCTAAGTTGGGGAGTTCTTTAAATCACAAGAAGATTTGAGTCCTTATCTTACATGACCATGATTAAGCGAGAGAATTTCACTGAGCGAGTTTGTTTTAGGTTGTTTTGATTCGTTTTTCTGAGTTTAGGATAAACCAAGATGAATCTATGTGGAATCAAAACCGACCAAACTTAAGAGAGCTTGTAGATTTGAATTAGGATCTGTTTCTTTTTTCTAATTTAATCAAACCACTCTAGCGAGTGGTTTGGTGTTTATCCTGGAAGGTCAACAGGAAAAGCAAGAAGAGCCAGCAGGGCAAAATTAGATTCTATGTTGACTTTCTGTATTTCCATGGACTTATACACAATTATAAGTCTTTAAAGGACTAAAATATAAAAGTTCCATATTTCATATTTTGTCCTGAAAGGACAATGGTATAGATATTGTTCCAATAGCTGTCTTACCCCCTCAATCAATTACAGGGACTTATTTGTAATTAACAATCTTTCACTCACTGGAATATAAAATCATACTTTTAAGCTGCTTCAGTCTTCACTGCCTCTTTTTCCTCTTTATAAAGAGGTTATTGCCTCAAATTACATGCAAAAATTAAGTAGATAGAGGAAGGAAAGAGGGAGAAACCTAAGTAGGTTTCCCATTCCTTTTTTGGTTCTTGTCAGGTTAATTGTTATTTTAAATCACTAATAAATTTGTTAATTTTATAAAAAGAAAATATATGTTATGAAAGTGGTTAGAGATTAGTCAATTCGATAAAAAGTGCAGTCCACAAGCATGGTTCATGGGCTAGCCTGCGAACCAAGCCTGCAGGCCCGCCCAAGCCCATGAGCCTATAACATATGAAGAGAAAAATGAGATCTCTTTGATTAAGCTAAAACTTGACCTGAGTCAACCCCCCTAGTACTAAACCTTCACCTTATTTGAAACCCATACTCCTCTGGAGATGTTTTTCATCAATCTCTCAGGCTTTAGTAGTCATGTAATTACAGTAATAAAATCTGGATGGGCATCATAGTGTCAGATATGTTAACTAGACAAAAAGAAGTTGGATTATACAGGGTAAAAAAATTCTAATTTGACATAATTTATGTACTTACATACCAATGTACATAATTTATGTACTTGCAGCTGGAACAGGAAATCAAAACAAGAAAAGAGAGAAGAAGATGTTTGACTAAACCTCTCCTACTTGGATCTCTTCCTCTACACAATTACTTCTTGATCATGCTTGGATCTCTTAAGAGCAGTGAATTGAAAGCCATAGATGACTGGAGCAGATGCACTGCTTTTGCTTGTACATCTATTATATTCTACAATTTGTGGGTTACTTTTCATTGTTTTGATCAATGATCTTATCATTTAAGAGCAGAATCCTTTATTCTTTTTCTCTCTATTAATTGATGTTGCTTTTCTATTACAAATAACTTGACTGAATTTAACAATTTAGTTTTGCACATTGTTCTTGCTCATTTGCTTCCCTTTCAGACTATTAGTACACAATTAAGAATGGAAGTACTCAGTGATCCAACATGAAGACTATAAGCCATCTGCTTAGAGACTATATGTTGACCAAGGTATATATATATAT